ATATTGGTTAAGTTTACCAGAACTTAGCTGCCAACTTGATGCTAAATAGACATTGAGCAATTAGCGCGTAAGATTTGACATTTTACTAAAAATTATACTTGAACTCGAATCACCATTATCCACAAAAAACGTCGAATTTTGACAGGATATTGTGCAATTTGACTTCTTTTGCTAATTCAATAGTTCGAGTTATGGAGAACTTTGAGTTATGGAGAACTTCGAGTTATAGAACTTTAAGTTATTGAAGTTCAAGTGTATTATATTTCTTTCGGGGATTTTGAATACATCCATAAGATTAGAAATATATACTGTRCAATCTCCTATAAACAGATACTGACRAACCAGCCTTTCTGTSCAGTTATTAGATATGTCCGGTTAATAGATTGTAATTAATGAATATCARCAAATTGTGTAACCGATCAATATGTTAATGGAGATGTCCGCTTAATAGCGTCCATTTAATACAGCTTTTATTATTATTTCTTATTTATGAATTGTTTTGATTATCCTATCTTTTAAGTTGCTTCAAACTTGGCACAGTGTGCCAAAATTTGCTGAAATCGGTTCATTAGTTTAGGCGTTCATCGCGGACAAACAACGTGACACGTGAGTTTTGTATCTAAAGATATATTATATRATGTGGTGAGTCGTAAGCAATAGCAAACTCTATTTCGATCATTTTGATGTTACGCATATAAGGAGAGTTCTTTATCGTACATTATACAAAAATAGTTACTTCGATTTCGRAATTATTGTATCTAGTTTATTTAATGTAAATTATGAAAAATTGGGTTAAAATATCTTTTTAAAGTTTTTATAGTTCTCTCTATCGATGATGTAGTATTTATAACTGGTAGGTTATTTAAGAAACTTTATTATGCTTTATTCTCAAACATACTACTAAAATTTGGAATYAGATTTAAATAACTTATCTCTAAAGACTTTTCTGAACTGACTTAACTTTTGGGCTCCATTATCAATCTGTGGTGTTTGTCCTGCCGTAACGACATAGAGTCATTAATATCCCGAGATCCGAACTTAGAGATAGTTGCATATTTTTACTTTTAAGGTGTTCAAATCAKCAAGTACAAACTGTTGTTTTAGTTTCTCAAATTGACGTATTACCGGACACAATATAATAAATAAATTACAGTATTTATTATCAAAGCTTGAAATATAGAAGACAAGAGCAGCACAGCACCTTATGAAGAATTTTGCTGATGAGACTCTGCTAAGTCAGTTTTTCTCTATGATATAATTATATCTATATTTTAACGATGTTCTTGGCAACATCCGATCCACATATTATATTTAAAGGAATATTTTCAGAATAACAAATAATTTTGAGGAATCTGCAGGAGTTTGATTTTCGTTATAATACAGATCRTTATACATATATATGGATATTTTAAGAAACTTTTGTTTGGTCAAATTACTTTAAAAAAGTCTACAAGTGCTTAATGAAATTATATTTTGTCGGAAATCGTGAGAAAAGGAGTGTTTATGTTATTAAACCAGCTTTTTTTTACCGAACGAAACAATTAAAAAATAAATTTAGAGAATAAACAGAACTARAAGTAATAGGTGATAAAATTAGTTATAACAAAAGGTATATTATATARAATTCGGTGCTAACTAATAAAATGAATTCTTTTTATGAAGAGTTTTGCTGACGAGTTTCTCGCTCATAAGCAATGCATCGTTTTTGTTGTTGCTCCAAACATAGTAATATGCAACAAGAACTAAAATATATTTCTGTTATTGTATGAAGCAATATCTAACACATCTAGATGTGTATAATGTTGTTGCTCCAAACATAGTAATATGCAACAAGAACTAAAATATATTTCTGTTATTGTATGAAGCAATATCTAACCCGTCCAACACAGTCTCCGTTTTTTTTAGCCCAAGCGGTGCACTTCCCACAATCGCTCTCCATATTTCATTTAGTTAAATATAAAACAATAAATTCTAAATATTTTGTACATATAATTTACATTCGTATACATATTTTTGCTATWAGTGTTTTATAAATTAATTAATTAATATAATTTACAGCGATATTATTACTTCGTTGACCTCAAAATTCAAATACCTCAGCAGTAGTGTGAGAGTACCTACGTGGACACAGTTGTTGCCGTCGTGGCGCCACCGTTTCTTATCTCTGCTGCTGCTGCGGCCGCTGCTGCGTTCTCGCGCTCCTGCAGCTCTTGCAGTTCTTCTTCTTCACGCGTCAGYGGCACTGTTGAGTGGTTGTAAAGGCCTTGCGCCATTAGTTGCAGCGCCAAAGGATTCTTAGTGCCGCTCGACTTTTTCAGTTTGGCACGTTTGTTTTGAAACCAAATTTTGATCTGCGCTTCATTTAGTCCCAGTTCGGAGCTGAGTTGTTGCCGTCGCTTTTCGGTTAGATAGCGGTTCTCGGTGAACTCATGCTGTTTTTGGAGGCGAAAGATGTGAGAAGACATATATGTATGAACAAATTGTGAAAAGATGAAATACTATAAATGAGTCTTACAAAAGGCAATACTTATCTAAAAATTTTATTCCAAGCTCTTTAAAAAAGTATACCATCCCTACTCTCAGAAAAGTGATTTCCAGATGTTCTATGTCCAATGCAAATTAATCTATTTGCTTAAAAAACAGTTTCTCTGATATTTTAAGATTAATACCGAAAAAAGTTCTGAGGTGACCCGGACTCGTATAGGCTTAATACTCTAATACTAAAACATATTAAAAGCTATTGAAGCAATAGAATCCTGTACTTTCTAGCTTCATATCGCATTACTAGCAGTTTGCAGAAGACGCTATATCTGTATTAAATATAGATACCTCATGAGCCTGCAGCGAATCATGAAGCCCCTAAGCTTATAAAATGGAAAACCAAAGTCTATGAAAAAATTCTGATATTAAGTGGATATCTGCATCTTGGCAACAATGAAATTTAGTGGAAGACAGAGATAGGAGAAATATTTCTATATACAGTATTGCTGAAGAAATATTAATTCCTATCCATATTCCTTATAATATACATCATAAAGCAATTTAACTACTAAAATGTTACCTCTGCGAATGGAAGGCAGCTTTTCGTGGTGCAGAGGATTAAGCTACAAAGCATACTCGGTATCTTCCAACCGTTGCTGCCACCTCCTAATCCAGGGTGTTCTGCGACTTCCGCACCGATTGGATGATTTGTAGCCAGGAGGTTAGTTCGACTGTATTCTAACGGAGCCTTTCCAACATCGTAACGAATTGGGAAGTAATATACCAGCTAAGTCAAAATAGCTCTCCGTGTTGAGCCAATGATCGTAAGCTGACTGACACCAACGCAACCAGAACTAGATCAACAACGACAAGCCAACAGTCACGAGAAATGGCTATTGGCAACAACTCCAAAGCATGCTCCATGCCAAGCCGCTAATGCAGGGCTACAACTTCAGTCAGTTTAGATATATAATCAACCTTCCTAGGGACTAATTCAGGCTACTTTTCCATTCTACACGAGCCATAGTGGCTCTCTTATATAACATAGTCCTTGCTTGTTGTGGAAATTGTCAGTGCAACCGGGAGCCTGAACAGAATAGTCTGCATTCGTTGGATAAATGGCCTTAGATCCAATTTCCAAATAGGCACAACATCGCCTCACTAGCACCTAGCGGGAATTCGGCTTTAGTTTCATTGTTTCATCTAGCTTTTGTTTAACAAGATTTCTAGTGCTTATATATACAAACAAACAAAAGCCACCCGGTTCTAAATGCGCTAGATCGATACAACTACATGAGCGACGAAGAAGGACTGAGATTTAGTATAAATATAACTGAAAATAATGTAAAACAGGACCGAAAGAGGTTGCTCTTGTGGAAAAGTTTGTTCTACTTTGTATCGGTAAGCATTTGAGAAGCAGATGCCTTTCTCGACGAACCAAAGCTGCGCTCTATAAGTCTCTCTTCATTCCCGTCTTATTTTACGACGCAGAAACATGGACGATGACGCACCGAAATAAGAAAAGACTTAGAGCTTTCAAGAGAACTGTTCCCCGCCAGGACTACAGAGCCGTTCGCTTGAGCGAGGAATACCGAAGAAGATGGAACCAAGGATATAAGAACTCTCACGGCATTAATGTAAATAAGACGCTGCAGCGAAAAGATCATTCAATTGGATGATCGACGGAAATAAGGGCACCCACGCACTCAATAGTAAGACCCAGTTCATTGCGATCTATCTGCATTTGGAATGTGAGACTGGTGTAATCTCGCCTCGACTTTTAACCACGAAAGAAATAAAAATAGTTCAATTTTATTAACAAAAACGAAATTTCTTCTGCTACTTCTACCACCAGTTTATAAACTGCCTTCCACTTAAGATAATAAATAGCGCGAATATGTACTCCACGGCATATATGTATACAGTATATAACTACGTCTAGATATTTTTCAATTCATTGCCTTTGCTTCGCTGGAAATTAAATTTCATTGCGCAGCAATAACTCACCTTCAAGCGCGCCAATTGCGAGCCACTGAACGCCGTGCGCGGTCGTTTATCCTCTGCGGTGGCAGCACCGCCACCTCCACTTCCGCTGCCATTCGATGCACCGCTACTGCTGCCCTTCTCACCGGCCAACTTCTTCGGCTTACGTGTACGCGGACCTAGAAGTACAGAGAGAACATAACACATAGCCATTAAGTAGGGGAGGAACGAAGTGTGAAAAAGTGTAGCTGAGCATGACCACCATTATAAGTCGGTAGACATACATATGTGTAAATATTCATATACATATATATAAGTAGGAATGTSTGCAGTTGTGTAAAACGCATTTAATTGAGCAGGACTCACCGCCAAACTCAGAGGTACTTGGGAGCCCGAGTAAGTAATTGTGAATWATCAACATTATACTAAATGTTACGTGTGTCTAAGGGTTGTATACACTCATGCAGATATACCCATATGTCTATGTACATATTTGTGTGCACAACCGGAACATAAAAATTCCATTTGCCCGAAATAAAATAGATGCGCGTAATTGCGCCACAATGACTGGACGCAAACGTTGAGCTTTGCCTACATTTTCGGACACTACCTGGCCTGCGCCGTCATTGAAGTGGCTGCAGCGCCGCACTTTGTAAACCACTTGCTTTAAACCCAGCCRCATTGCGCAGCGAGTCTGCATAAATTTTCGTGGCATCTATGCACGAACATGCTGCCAAGATTTATGAGGAGCTAAAAATTACACGACACCAATGAATTGTAATTCGGCAAAGTGCTCGGAATTGTAGCCAAATTCATGCGACACCCACCCTCGTCCTCCCTCAATGAGTTTTCCCTCAGCGCAATTAATTCAAATGTTAAATAGTCCAAAATTCAAGTTGTCTTTCGTTGTGTTTTACTTAATTTTMCTTTTAAATAATTAAATTTTATTTCGGTYTTCGCCGCGTCATCACAGCTTTAGCTGAACTTTGACAGCAAATTCGCGCAGTCATTGCTACCCCCGCCTATGCGGAAAGCAATCAAAGACGATGACGACAATTTGGCACTCTGTGCCGTAGTTGAAATGAACTGACTTTTGTGTAATTAAAGCTAATTTAAAGTGCGAAGGCAGAGTCGYTGATTAGCAAAATCATCCATCTTCGAAAGGCAGGGAGTGGAAGAGTTCCGGAGTCTTCTTCTACTTTATTGGCGAAGACACCGCGTACGCGGTTATAGCTGAGTTTACAACAACAGGGTTCCAGGCTGCTGCTGAGGTTTAACTTCTTCTATGAAAGCTTTTTGCTTTATATTTCCTTGCTTCCRTTCATAAAATTGCTTATACGGATATTTCGGCGCAGTTGACTAACATATGAAAGTTGGGAAGCTCCACTTCGATTATAGTTTGAAGCATTTAGATCACCGGTGTGTCTTTCAAACAGAGCGGGTTGTTATCAACTTAGCAGTAAGCTTACTGCTTCAAAGCATTTACAGAGGCTGACTGCATGCGCAGAACTAGTCAAGAAGTATTTGGTCTAATTATTAATTGCCTCAAGGTACCTCAAGTTTATGATGAATAGTAAGGTGAGGTGGTGTTCGTGGTGTGGTGCACTATGAATATTATTTAGGCCGAATTTGCGTCAAGCTAATCGTCTAAAATCCCCGAAGAACTCTTGGTTCCTTCATCACGATAATGTACGTAACACATAATTGGTTCTACGCGTCTTTTTTGCTAAAAACTCGACTTATAACGTTTTGCCAGTTTGAAACCAACTCAAAATTGATGAGATAAAAACCGAATGGAATAAGGTCTTGAGACCGCGTTTTTTCGGATAGGGACTAATTTTAAATAAATAATTAATAAATTCACCTCACATTTTGATCACAGTACTATAAGAGTGTCCAGCCAAAATAGAAACACCGGAAACGGGTAAGTCGATGAGCTTGATAAAAGATCACCTTTTTAACAATAGCCCAAGATCCGGAAGTAATTGAAGCTGTGCGGTCGCCATGCGTTCTAGTGCTAAACAATTCACCCTGCTATTTTTAAGGTTCTGGTGTTCTTTGTTTGAAATTTAGCTTTGGTTTTATGACAAAAAATTAAGCTTAGCATAATAAAACCCAAAAGCGGTTCGAAAATTTCCATGACAGAAATTCTTTTAAAGGTCAAGTRATAGTCAGAGTTTTAACAACTCGGCTAGGGAAGAAGATATGTAGTAAGTCCTACCGGCCTGCTMTCAGACTCCGGAAAACAGAACACATTAAGGGTCCCAGAGAGGAACTTTCAAAAATTCTCTATAATTTCGACTACATCTCCGATAACTTGTACGAATACGTCGAAGAGTCTACTCCTAGTGGCGTGTTTCCGTGCACATACCACTGTGAGATATGCGGGTGATCGAAGTTCCAGCGAAGGYTGCATACACTCCGAAATCAGTTAGTGAAATATCTGACCACAAAGGAAGCGTCCGAAATTGTAAAAGCTGGCACCCTAACTTAAGATCCATTAGGATAGGATCGCGCAGGTATTCCCTTGGCTTCGTGTACTCGAGCGCTCTAGGCGTTTTGTCGGCGGCCTTTTTGATCATCACAACGAGCTGACGTTTCAAGCTTTTCGAGTGGGATTAATCGCAACTTTGCGTAAAATCACAATATTTACTTAACCTAGCCTCAGTYTCAAGAAGTAATATTCTCTTCTATATTTAATTGGATTTTCGATAGGGGCGCTACAAAATGAGACCGGTAGTGAGAGCAAACGTCACTATAAAATTTTCCCGCTCTTTTGACATTTCCCTTCAATAAAGTGTGCTTTTTCATCGTGGAAAGATATACGGTCCAACAACGAGTCGAAATTATTAAAATTGACTACCGAAATACGGAGTCCGGCGAGTGGGTACTTCTTCCGTGATGATCAAGATCGGCACGTTATTCTAAATGGGAATTGCTACCGCTTATTGATAACTGAATATTTTTGGCCCAAATTGGGTGATATGGACTTAGGTAATATGTGGTTCCAACAGGGCGGTGCCACAAAACAGATTTGGTGAGGGTGCTATCCCACGAAATGGCCCAGTCAATTAACGGTCTCGGCCGTGCGATTTGACGACGTTAGACTATTTCCTGTGGGGCTGTAGTCTATGGTCTATGCTAACAAGCCAGCGACGATTGACGAACTTCGTACGAATATCGAACGTGAAATTGCAGCAGTATCGGCCGATATACATATGTTTGAAAACCGGGTTCAGTGTCTGGACTTATGCACGTGTGCCCGTGGTGGCCATGCAAAAGAAAAGTTCCATACGTAATGGCATCGAATGGACTTTCACAAGAATAAAGAATGTCATTCTTTCGTAGCGCTCTTATTGAAAAACACGTTATTTGGAGTGCAAATTTAAGGCTTTGGCTGCCTTAACCATGATGATCGTATTTAATAGTGATTAATTTCAGTAGTTCGTCTTATTTTCTCCCGCTTTGGATACAAGACATACCATCGAAGTGAAATGTTGAAGCCTTTTAGCTAAAAAAATTTCCTCTACCCATGTTAGGTATAAAAAATTTCGAAACCCTGTAGCATTTCATAAACAATTTGTACATAAATATTTCGGGTCATTTAACATATTTCACAAATKATTTATGCACTTTAATATGCGAATGGCGATATTATGTAAGTCCAAGACGATGATATATTAAGCAGTTTTGTGGTGACCACAAATATTTCTTAATTTCACTGAAATATGTTCCTTAGCGTCGCAGTTGCCGTTATTAATAACWCGGAAGCACGACAAGACGTTCAAGTCGCGGTTTTCTGTTTCTGCCCTACCGCTTTCCAAGCGAGCGTGTTGAAACAGGGGATAGAGTGGGGGCAGCTAAACTATGGCGAACTTGTGGGCAGAGTGGTAGTTTCTTGGAACTTAAATATTTATACATATACATATATATGTATATAACATGTCTAGCTTGTAAAGCACTCATTCCAATAGCTCAAAATAATTACTTGCCATTTCATGCTACATTTGCATTTCGCTCAACTTGGCGGCCAGTTGAAAAGTTGAAAACCAGAAATGCCCATTAGTGGCTGTCGAAATTGCTTCATTTTCGCAAAACTATTCAAATAAAGGAGTAACTTTCACTTCAGCACGCTCACCAATTACTACTTCCATACAAAACTCATTCGACATCGGACATTTTCCACGAAAAAGCAATTAGGAGTGGCGAGTGTGCGAATGTATTGGTGGAAATGAAATTAAGTGTCAACATTTTAATATGGCAATGTTGGAAAATGTCATAAAAAATAATTAAAGACCGCCTAAAGGATTCAAACACACCCACGCACATATATAATTGCACAACTTTCTTGCAAACGCTTTTGCTGGAGAGCAAATTCAAATACTTGTGGCTCAATTATTGCTGTATTTGTGCTAAAAATCTTGGAAAACTCTCTGCCTGCCACTCTGCACCCACTCAGCAATYCGACAATCCGGCAATCCGTTGCGGCGCAATAAAATTTTATTACTTCACTTTGGCAAARCCGGAATCGACTCGTACTATCACTTCACTTTGCATATTCTTKGGTATACTTTGTTAATTCCTCCGAWGGGGTGCTTTGCTCGCTCCTTTGACTGTCGCTGGTGTCCTTTGTCAACACTTTTGACGCGCTTGTTCGCTATGCTTGTCAACATTTAACTGTTAATTAAAGGGRAAACAACTTCCTTCGGGTTGGAGGAAGGGGTTAAATAAAAATTAGATTGCCCAACTGTCATTGCCAATATTACAGTAGTTCGATTCTTATTTCTGTTTCGATCGAAAGCAATGCTTTTGAAAAAACGTTATTAAATTAGCAGTGCTTAAATAGAGACCACTCAATGGCTAACGCAYATACATATATTATATATTGTCAGTAAATATTTTGGATTTTTTATGACGCATTTAGGCTTTTTGGGAGGTCCAATATGAAACCACTATTACAAAAATCTGGTTTATTTATACAAAGCCTTGTGTTTAAATAGAAGATTTTTTGTGGTCTCKTTTTCTTCTACGAACCTCTTGGCAGCTTCTACAATAGTCATTGTATAGTAAGACCAGCCTGCTTGCATATCTACCAATCCCTTAGCAGTTCTGCTCCACTTTTTGTCATTGCTTTTAAATTTGAATAGTCGGTATGAGCGGCACACATCCCATTYATACCACGTTGGCCTGCTTATTGAGCAAATTAGGGATTTACTTCACCGAGACTCAGTCATGGTATATCTTTAACATGTTTAAATGTATTCTTTATATTGGCTGCCATCGGTTCATGCGCTGCTGCAAACTCTTTAAGGCCCAAGATCGAACCGAAAGCGATYCAATGAGCTTTTTTGCCGCCAGAAAAGCAAGTCTTTCCCAGGTCATTATCTGTCGCCGTCTATGCTGTAAGGTTGAKAATCWTAC